AGCGGCATCCGAGCAGGCGTCCGTCGCGGATGATGTTCTTCTCGCCTATCGTGACTCTGTTCTGCCCGGCCCCAGACAAGCGGCGAGCCCCACGTTGGTGCAGCATTTGTGGTATTCTCGCTCACCGCCTGTCTGGAGAAAGGGTCCAAGTCATGATGGAGACATCTTTATTCTTCGAGCCCGGTGTTCGTTGGCTTGCACCGCCATGGCTGACCTGTCCTGTCCCTCACGCGCCTCGCGCCCCGTGCTTTTGCCCCGCGCTCGTTTCTCGCGCGCCGCCCGCATCGTAACCGAAGTTCTCAATGTCCAAAATCCCCACAATATATATATATATATATATATATATATATATATATATATATATATATATATATATATATATATATATATATATATATATATATATATATATATATTTGCAAACTATTTTTGTTGGGTACGCGCGCGACAGAACAAATATGACTGGAATGTTAATTGTCGTTTTTTTAACGATAAGTTTTGATGGCACCGCCCGATTAGCCGAGTGTCAAACGACAAATCGCTTAGCTGTAGAACATAATTTACAACAGAAGACAGCCGAAAGGCATGCATTTTTCACGCTCACAAATGACGTGTTTACTGATGGACAAGACTACGGACATACCATTAACAAGTGTTAACATTCGAACAACATATTGTTCGTACCACACGATGCAGCGTTATTTGAAAAGAATTCATTCGAGAAAGATTTCAAATAACACAGTCACAGTCGACGACAGTCACATCTTGACGATCGGACGGAATCCAAGATGACTTCGTTTTGGGGAAAGCTTCTTTTTTCCACACCAGCACAGAGGCAAAGGAGCTGGCGCGACTGACTCCAACCCGAACAACTATTTTTGGCTATGATTGGGAAGGACTCTACGCGGATTAGCTCTGGGAGGGGGGAGAACAGTTGTCATTCCTCGCAAAATCGCGTCGAAGGCCGTTTGACGTCCTTCCCATCCTTCGTTTCCCGTGAATGTCGAGCAACAACACTGGAATGGCAGGCACTTACCAACTATATTTGATATTTCTCACAGAGGAAGATAGCACAGAAGGGGTACGCAGCAGGCATCAGAAAAATTAAGTGGGAACTTTCAAGAGGTGCCAGAAAACATGGAATGCAAGACAGAAAAACATAGGTAGAGAGCTGCGCTGAGCCATAGCCTCCTCTATACTGAAAAAGCCTGGCAGATCGTCACGTAACGCGGCCACCGAACGTGAAAAGCTAGAGGGGCAGACAAGAGTCATGTAACGGGCGCCCCGCTGCGGCGAGCCACCGAAACACACTTGTCCCGAGCAGTGTAATGTCCGCTCGTGCTTCTCGCGTTCCTCGGGCTACCGCTTCTTTTCTCGTCGGTTTTGAAAACCATGTTTCGGGTCCTCGCGTCTGCAAAAGCTGTGCGCTGATTACCAGACTCCCCGAGAAATGCTCTGTGCCAGCTACCAGATCCTCGCGCTCCAATTCTGCGACCGGGCACTCTATAGGCAACCTGCAATGCTGTTTGGTTTGGCGCCATCTAGTGACAGAAACAAGAAATATTGAGTACCGTAGGAGTGGCGGCTGCATTGTTCAAACGTGAGCTTTTACTCTGGTGGCGCCGCTTAGCCTAGTGTCTGAAGCAAGAAATACTGGGTATCCCAGGAAGCCGTGATCGCGTAACGTGCCAGTAGAGCGGAAGCTACGACCCTGGCAGGCCAATCGGAACGTGACTGCTCATCACTGGAGCGCGCCTCAACTCCGGAAAAGTATCAGGCTTTTCGCTGCGTCATGCTCTAATATGTGTGCGTTGCGCTCGTATACGTCGCGCATTTCGAAGCCACCGGCACGCAATGTGGGGCTTATCATTTACCCTTTGCCAAGTTACAACGAGACAGGGTATAACCGTGCGCTCTAACCCTGCTGGCGCCGCCTGGCCGTTGCCGGTTGGCTATGGCTCCGTCATCGAACTGCAAGGCTTTGTGAGTATAGAGGAAACTATGGCTGAGCGGGTTTGCACAGTCCAAGAGAGTGGCAGAAAATTTCTAGCTTATAAGGGGCGCGAGAGCTGCACCAGCCGTATCAGCATCAGCAACATGGCGGCGGCCCCACTCTTGCTACATATATTTAACTTAGCATTTTCTAGTGGCCAATTTCCGAATAACAAGAAACTTACAAAAGTTTCAGTTTTGCATAAAGTGGAGACAAAAATTTAGTTACAAATTACAGACCCATCTCGGTTCTTCGAATATTTTCCAAAAGGCTGGAAAAAATTATATTGTTTACACGAATTTTCTACCCAGAAATCAGTGCTAACTGACTCACGAAAAGGCAAACAGCGCACAGTGAACGGGGACTACAGGAAGTGGAAACAGGACAAGCGCTGACTCTCATCTGAAACCGTTTACTGTGCGCTGTTTGCCTTCTCGTCAGTACGAACCAACTAACCCACATCGCCACCCTTATTCTAACTGACTCCCAGTTTGGATTTCGCAAGAAAAAATCCACAGAAAAAGGTTTGATATCCCAGAAGGAAATAATATTACATACTATAGAATGCAAACGGCTGACACTGGGAATATTTATAGGCCTTAGTAAAGCGTTTGATTCTCTTAACCATTCAACGCTCCTTGATGAACTTTCGTGTTATGGCAAACTAGGCACGCCTTTGATACTTATTCATTTATATTTAGAACATCGCAAGCAATGCGTCTCAGTGAATGATCAGGTTTCCTCTTTGCAAATCTTGAAGTTTGGTGTGCCCCAAGGCAGCATACTCGGACCTTTGCTGTTCGATGCGTATATAAGCGATCTAGTCAATATCTGCAACCAAGCACGTTTCTTAATGTATGCAGATGACACGAGTATATTTCTATCTGCAGCGAATATGGACGAACTTATACCCATGGGAAACTTAGTTCTGGAAAAGTTTATTTCGTAGTCAACAATAAATAGTCTTAAAATAAACACTGTAAAGTCTTAAGCAATTTGGTTGAGACCTGTAAATAAGCACGTTATTAGTAATTATGCTCTAGAGATTGACACCGACTAGGTTGAAATAGTTAAACAGCACAAAACGCTAGGTGTCATTTTTTTTCAGAAAATATGCAATGGGATAATCACATCGAATTCTTAGTTAAGAAACCGCCAAAAGGTTGTTGGAATCGTATGTCACTGTCGTTCGTTGTTGCCTGTAAATATTGAAATGCAAATTTATCATGCTCGGCTTAGCTCACAAATTAGCTATTGTCATTTGGTTTGGGGCACAACAATAAATCTAATATTAACAAACTTACGATCCAATAAACGAAAATGCCGCGTTCTATTGCAAACGCGCCTCATACGGAACCTCATACGGAACCATTATTTCTTAAATTTAATGTTATGAGGATTGCCAGTGTGTACGAATACCGTTTGTTATGTTCTTATTTATTTTCGACCGATGAGTTTATTTCGTTTTTGTCTAATGTATCCCACCTGAGAAAACGTGAATCTTCTATCCTTTTCAGACGCAGAAAGCTCTGGAATGTGCCTCATTTTCGTACAAATTATGCACTGCTATCTATTGCGCATAACCTGCTTACATTACTTAACAAGTTCATAATAGACCACAATAATATTCATTGTTTAAAAAAATTATGTACACGTTTGTTTTGTTTAGACAAAGCGTAGTGTATAGTAGCTGTTCTTTTTACCATGCCCTGTAAGTGCAGGGGCACGAGACCCGGACAAGCTACCTCATGGAAGCTTTTTGTCTAGTGCCCTCAGCACAATATTTCTGGAAATAAGCATTACTTACTTAAATACTTGCTATAAGTTGCTCGGTTGATAAGACTTGGTGAATTTCATGTCGTGAGCGAGGAATACCCATGCAGTTCGGCTATCTTGTGGTGTGTTCAAAAATTTTTGGCAGTTATTAAGACCTTTGTTGATTGACACGGCTTAAAATATGGTACCGTAAAAAAATCAGCATAAAATGAAACAAACATTCCAGTTGCATTTGTTCCTTCTCGCACGGACTCACCCAAATTAATTGTAATTTCTTTGTGTTTGTTCCCAAAAACACTGCAATGCTTTCTTAAAAACATCGAGACATTCTCTTCGCCATAGAACACAAAATAAAAAATAAAACGAGGAACTATAGCCGGCAGCAGCGTCCGGAATTCGCGCCTACGCACGCTACCACAGCCCACTGACGAGAAAACCCACGGCCCAGCGCAGTCAGGCAACACTGACGTACACTCTCAAAGCCAGAGTCGCGCGCTGTGAATCGCTTCGTTCGAGACTCCCTCTGGAGAGGTATACAAGCCGGCGACGCAACGTTGTTCCGTTCGGGTTCCGCAATATCTAGCAAGATCAGCATACCCACCTGTAACTCTAGCCAACAATAAAGGTTTTCCAATCCAATAGGGGCACCCGAACGTTGGGACCCCTATTTTAAAAGCCTCCTAAAATAGCTCGTTAGCATTTTCAATTGCGGCCGCTGCCTACAACGGAGTGGCGCCTGCACTGCGTCGGGACTCATTTCCAAGTTTCAATCACGTAACTTTAAAGCCGCGAACACACTGAGTGAAGTTGCATCCCGTAAGCACAACCGCTCCGCCCTTCCAAACAAGAAAAAAATAGACGTTAAAGCGAGGAGAGGGTGATGGCCGGAAGGAGCAACTTGAGGAAAACATTGCGCAATTCTACCACACGCTTTCGCGTCGCCCCTCAAGGCCGCCGCGGACGCTTGCACCGAACTAAAATCCACCCGCGACCGCTGTCACCGTTACAACCGGCTCGTTTCCCGTGGCATTTCTCACTGGCACCGGAATAATAAGAGTTCTCCAAGGTCAAACGCACCCTCCCACGAAAACAACAAAAACAGCGCCCCCCCCCCTCACACACACACACACACATATAGTCTTGGTAGAATTCCAAGGTCAAACGCATCCTGCCACGTAAACAACAAAAACCAGCCCCCAATAATAATGGCACACAGGACGCGGGTACTCACAACACTGAGGATGGCCAACACTTTGGTGCCTGTTCGGACCGTCATGCACCCGCAGCAGCAATGCGTGAAGTACGTCATGATTCTTTCCTAATCCAAGCTCGTTGTCGTACCCGAACAAAACAAGATCATTTTGAACGATCGCTGCTTCAACGGCGGAAAACACACGGGCAACCACCTCCAGTGACAAATCGACAAATCGACGTGCGACAAATCGACAAATGCGTTCAGAAATGCGAAGACTCTACAGTGGCGCCAGTTGCGTCTGCGGTGGACGGCACACCCTTTCCCTTCCTTTCCCCCGCCGACAGCACCACGCCCCGCCATCCGCGGTGCTGGCCACCATGACGTCATCGTACGTCACCGTAATTTCTTTCGCTTTTTTAAAGACGTCACGGATCAGCACCACAGTAAAATCCTATCCAGTGGTCCCACTCAAGGCCACTTCCGGTAATCGCGCGTAGACTGCGCTCCTCAAACCGGATGGCGACAACAACTGGACGTTTAAAACCAAGAAAATAAAATAAAAACGAGGTAGAAAGAATTGTAATAAAATTATTTGAGCACTCTGTGTTTATTAATTTTAGAAAACATAATTATAAAGGGCCGAAATACGAACAGGATTAAATGGCGTTTTCCCTTTTAGCTTCCTCTTTCATTGTTTTCCTTTCTAGCTTCCTCCTTGTTGTCCTCTTGGCCTTGGAACATTACACACGCCGGGCCTTTTGTCCTCAGTCCTCCTGGGGTGATATGGAACCACGTTCCTAAAGATTTCGGTGATGTCATTCGGTCCCAAGTAGGGCAAAGTCTTGAGAATTCCTTTTTGCCTGCATGTTTAGGTGACCATGTAAGGCCCAGAAAATGTGACCTTGGACCCTTGTAATCCTTTTCGGACTAAAATCACGTCGCCTGGTTGGATCTCTGGCACTGTACTTTGGTGTCGCTTGTCGTAACTATTTTTCATTGCTGACCGATATTTTTCTTGTTCCCGTGAGAGTTGTTTCTGTTCCTGCAATTTGATTTTGTTGGTTAAGCCCAGAAGGTGATCTGCAGGTAGCCACGGGCTCTCTCCGCACGCGGCGAAGTGTGGGCTACATCCCAGTCCAACCGTAAAGAAATTGTTGTGGTGCGCAACGGCTGCTTCAAGCGCGCACTTCCATCCACCCGTGAAGTTAGGATACATTGCCCTGAATTATTAGGTGTCTCGTATCACCCGTTCAGCTATCGAATTTGCTTCTAAGTGATATGGAGCAGTAAAGAGGAATTCAATTCCCCTTTCTTGCGCACATCTCTGCAGCTTTTTGCTGCTAAAGGCCGGACCTATGTCTGAGACAGTTACCTTCGTATTCCGAAATGCGTATCGTTTCATGAGCGAAATGACAGAGTTGGCGTCTTTTTTGCCGGCCTTGGCAGCCACTACTCGCGCGCATTCATCAATGGCGATGAGGAACGCTTGCGTTTTCTTGACACCCTCTCCCTTCTTTTTGATTTCTCCAAAATCAACATGAATGATCTTAAAGGGGACGTTGCGTATTCGGGCGTGACCATTTCATCTCCCCGAGGTCGGTATTTAACCTTATTCGCTTGGCACATGTGGCAAGTACCCGCATATTTCGTGACTTTGAGCTTCGTGTTCTGCCACGTGAACTTTCGCTTCAGTTTCCGATAGGTTCTCCTAAATCCAACATGTCCTCCTGATCTCGTACTGTCATAGTAAAGCTATAGGATTATAAGAGCACCGAACTCTGGCACATGGACCTTTCCATCTCGCACTTCCATGTCTTGGGGGCCTTCCCAAATTCGGGTATGGTGAATGCTCTCGGTGAAGGTATCTAGGAATGTGTCACCTGGAGAGGGCATCAGTATCAGGAAGCTTTCCTCCGGGTCGGTGGGTTACGTGTTGTATCTCGCTGGTCCACCTGGAAAGTCGTCCCTTCGGATGAGCTAAGCTTAAGAAATAAGTGAGAGCTTGGTTGTCACTGAAAAGTTTAAAAGGACGACCTTCAAGGTAGCTTCGGAAATATCTCAACGCCATGACCACCGCTGTGGTGACATAGTTTTCGTGGCTCTTGGAAAACCTGTATGAGTAGTACCAACTACTTTTAACTGCGGTTGGGAGGTTCTGTCAAGTGTCTCTGGTAGAAGACGGCTCCTGTACCATAGTGTGAAGCGTCCGTACAAAGTTCGAAAGGCAGTTCAAAGTCGGGTGGCACAATGGTTGGGTCAGAAGAAATTACCTTGACCAGGTGGTCGTACGCCCTTTCGCACTCATCAGACCAGATAAATAGAGTATCCTTGTTAGTCAAACTGCTTAGGCACTTTGTCTTCGTGGCATAATCTTTTATGGATGCTCAAAAATGTACAGCGGGCCCGAGAAAAGCGCTGAGTGAGTGCAAGTCATAAGGTTTTGTCAGCCGGGAGATTCTGTGCAGTGATTCCTCCTTTGTACTTTTCGTTTGACCGTCACAAACTCTTCCGAATAACTCTGATCTCTTTTGGAGAAATTCGCTCTTCTTTATGTTGATCTTCAACTTGGATATGCTCAGTGCTTCGAGAACCCGCGACAGATGATCGACATGCTCTTCCCTTGTCCGGGAATAAATGATAATGTCATCGACATAGGCGTTACAGAAATTTCCCAAGAAGTTCTTGAGCACTTCATTCATCATCCTAACAGGCTTAGGCAAACAGTTGCTCGGGGCAGCCACCGCACGAAAGGGAGCAGTGCGGTGGAAGTTCGTGTGGACTAGGGGCGGGAAAATGTTTGCACACAAGGACGAAACTTCGCAGGTAATACAAATCAACAGTCAAAGTGATGTCGACGAAATAGCCAATTACACTTCCCATGAGGTTCTCGCTCTGGCAAGGTTTTTATAGTGGAACACCAGCAGGAGTGCGATTATAATAATTTTTCATCTTTCAATGAAATGTACAAAAATTACCGGACTCACTTTTCTGTCATGCATATAAACACACACAAAGTATTAGAAATAAACAGGACAAGCTTGACCTTTCCTTTCAAGCACTATCAGTTAATTGCGACGTAATGTTATTTACAGAGACGTGGCTCACTGCGAACGAGGCTCCGCCATATTTTGAAAGATACAAATTTGAAAGTTTATCCAGAACTACAAAGAGGGGGGTGGACTAGCCATGTATTTTAAAGAAAACTTAAACTACGAAGTACTAGGGGATGTTGAATTAATGAATGACATTATTGAGTGCCTGCTTTCCAAAGTAAAGTCTGTGCATATTGCAACTGTGTATAGGCCATCTTATGGCAATGTTACTGACTTCTTAGAAATTGTTGATAACTTGCTACAATGTTTGGGTGACTTTTCTGTACCATTTCGGATACTTAAAGATATCCATCCTAATACAATTGCTAATGATGGACACGCCAGAGAGTTTCGGGATATTTTAAATCAATATCCCTGTAACAACGAAATAACGCTGCCTACAAGGGTGAGTCAAAAGAGTGCAACTTCAATCGACATCTGTGTTACAAATTTGCTTTCAAATAAGCTTATATCTGGCGCGTTCACAGAGGACATCAGTGACCATCTTCCTATTTTCAGCCTGTGCCCTTTCATGCACAAAAACACGAAGCAAAGTGAAACCCTTTTTTTGTAGAAATATAAACGCTGAAACGCTAAATACTTTTACTTGCCTTTTAGAAGAAACAGATTGGGGAGAAGTGTTCACGGAGGAAAATTCCTGCTTAGCATTTATTATCTTTCATCGAAAGTATAAAGCTGCTTATGACGCGTCCTTTCCTTTAAAACAATCAAAACAGAAAATTTATAACATTAGAAATCAAGTAAACTTGGATTTGAAGGCGGCCAAACGCAAATAGCACAAAAAAAAAATAGTCTGTTCACAATAACCAAAGAAAGGTATGGGAAGTTTTTAATAGTATAGCCAACCTGAAAGAACAAAAAATCGCAGTGAAATAAATCCTAATCAATGGGAACGAGGTGACGGGCGTTGAAATGGTAATCGAAATCAACAAGCATTTTATAAATATCGGTGGAAGTATGGTATCAGAAGGCAATACAAACACCGACGTTGACGTGATGACAACGACGGAGATAACAAATTCAATAATGTTCTTCCCGACAACAATGTATGAAATAGAAACACTCATTGATAAAATAAAGAAAGACGTAGCAGCGGGTGACGACGAGCTGAAGGCTCAACCACTCAGGCATGTAGCTAGAATTATTAGCCCCATGCTATCACACCTCGCGAATAGCATGTTAGAGAGCGGTATTTTCCCGAAAGATTTGAAGGTGGCAAAATTGCTCCTATTTACAAGGGTGGTAGTAAAAAAAGTATCGAAAATTATAGGCCCATTTTTGTATTTACAGTATTTGCTAAAATATTTGAAAGCGTAATAAACAACCGCATAGAAAGATTTTTTCACAAAGCATAGTGTAATACCCACCGCCCAATACGGGTTCCAAAAGGAAAAATCTACAGAGCAAGCTCTTCTGGACATGCAAGCGAAATCGGTTGCAAATATTGAAGACAAGTTAATTACACTCGGACTGTTTCTAGATTTGAGGAGTGCATTCGACATCGTTCAGCATAGTATTTTACTCAGAAAACTACAATACTACGGCATCCGCGGGGTCGCGCTCGCATACTAAAAAGTTATTTAACGAATCGGCAGCAATATGTAAAACATTTCAGTCTCGAATCGAATAAAGAAATAACGCGTCATGGTGTGCCGCAGGGTTCCATATTAGGCCCTTTACTTTTCCTATAGTCTATATAAATGATATCGTAGGCATTTCTGGTTCTCCGGAGTTAATAATGTACGAAGATGACTAATAATGTTAATAATGTACGCAGTGAGGCAACTCCAGAATGCCTGGAGGAAAGGGCAAACACCTATCTTGTAAATCTTTCAAAATGGCTGAGTTCAAATGGGTTACAATTACATATAAGCAAAACACAATGCGTTATTGTTAAACCAGAAACAAAGCGTCTTACGAACTCCCTTAAGATTACATTTGAAGGTGATTTAAACGATCAAGTAACCGAGCAAAAATTTCTGGGTGTGTGATTTAACCAAG